ATTTTTATGTTTTAAATAGGACTGTCAAGTGATTATTTAAAAAAAAAACATTTTTATTACATATTGTGCCGATTAATTAATCAAATGAATCTCAAATGAATTAGATTAATTAACATGTATATCATGTGCCATTTAAAGATAAAGTTATTATTAAAGATAATAGTTATCATTGTGTTAATTTAGAAAAAAACACAGAATAGACATTACAAAAAGGTAGCAGAAATATAAGTAGCTTTAGGAAGAAATATTTTAATTCAACATAAAAAAACACAAATAAATAGTGAAATATGAAAATAAGTTATGAAACGCTACTCTGAATATAAAATTAAATGCACCAGTAGGTGGCGGCAAATCCCTGTCTTAAGTGAGTCATGCAATCATTCATTCAATCGATTCGTTCAAATGACTGATTCATTCAGAAACGAAGCAGGTGACTGCCTTTATGAATGGTTCACTGAATCATTGATTCACTCGATTCATTTAAAAACGTGGATTGATTCATTAATGAAACACGGCTGTGTGTTGATCTGATTCGCACAACAGTTCTCCTAGGGCTTTATTTTCATTGGTGAAATTACTGACAATGTGTTTAAAATGTAATTATTCACACCTTTACCTTATCCATTTTTAGGTAAAAACTTTTATGTAACCTATTTTTGTCTTTCTACCAGCCAATGATGATTCTGAAAGAAAGCACAGTGTTTGTTATAACGTATGCAGCTTTCACGCGCATCTGACTGACAGAACCGCGCTCTTGTATTTCAGCAGTGCTGGTAATGTTATGGATATTTTAGCAAATATAATTTGCTCCATAAATTCAGTTCAGCAGCATTAAGTTGAAGAGGGTAAACTTTATCACTCGACTGAATCTACACGTGCATTTTAGGTGTTCTTGCTCCGTCCAAGCAATAAATGCACGTCTTTGAATGAGCGCTGTAGCGTATTCTTCAACTGCTCAGGCACTGAAACGACCCGTTTCAGTTACAACTATAGAAATGCATATTAATATTTACAAGTAAATCTCCATATTATGTGTAGGCTAGCCTTCTTTCTGTCTGACCCCCCCTACATCGTCCCATTAGGGGGGTTAAAGCCTTCTTTAGGAGTAAAATAAGTCAAGATAATGGTTGAAAAGCAAAGTAAAGCTCATGCTTATTTTATGTAATTATGTTATTAACTCTGGTAGCAATTAAAAAAAAAAAAAAAAATGTTTGCCAACAAAATTAATTATAGTTTGATCTTAAACTAATTATTGTGTAATAATAAACCAAATATTGCATGTGTGTGTATATATATAAAATTATTTAATTAATTTCTTTATATTTGTATTTTTAATTTTATATGTATGGGTTTAAAATTTTGGGGTCTCAAAGCTTTTTTTGCCCCCCAAAATTTCCTTATATTCACCAAGCTGCATTTTATTGGATTTAAAACAGTAAAAAGAGTAATGTTTTGTTAGAAAATGAAATCTTTTGTAGCATTTTAGTGTCACTTTTAATAAATTTTTCGTCCGTTCCAAATTGACATGAAAATATATATATATATATACAGTTTATCTTTCTTTACAAGTACATTTGGAAATAGTATTAAAATAAAAGCAAATGTCAAGCTGCTCAGTATAAAGGCACATAAGACAGCCTGTCAGTTGGAGAAGAAGCAATGAGAGATCGAGGTAGCGTCTTTACTCTCCTCTTAAACTTGCTTCATATGTATTTTTAGACACTCTACAAGGTGCCCATTTATTCCCCTTGTCCTTTTTCTGTCATCATTCTCGTTGGAACAACAGACAATAGCTGCCTGCTCTTCCAGAGCTCTTCAGTCAAGAAAGGGCCATTTCAGCCAGACGTACAACTAGGGCAAACCGAGCAGAACGCTATCAAATAGTTGTAAACAAGTTGAGCGGGCGAAGAAGGTTTGTGATGGAGGATTTTTTTTTTTTTTATGTGTGTGAAGCAGCAGCTGTTTTTTAGACAGGCTTGAGATCACTTGTAGTATATTGCGCTGAAGACCTTTTGTGAAGAATTTTACCTGACAGAAATGAACAAAAAGATTGTTTTCACCCTTGTTGAGAGAGATCCACGATCCCTTAGCTGTGCATCTTCGTGCCCTGAAAATCTTGTCCTGCTCTGTTATTTTTCCCTAGTGAAAGTTGTAAAATACAGCATAAGACTTGCAGAATTTAAGTGTGCGTTGCATCACTGCTGTTGTACTGATTTGCCTTGAAACTGCAGATTTCTTTTACACTTAAAAGAATAGTTCACCCGAAAAATTAAAATTGTCATTATTTTCATGCCGTTTTTTTGTTCCAAACCTGTATGCTGGTTTTTTTTTCTGGCACAAAAAGTAGCAGCTCTACTTGGTAATACTACTGTATAATACTACAATTATAATAAATATATTAGCCGCTATACTTTGAGTCTTATCTAGCCATACAATATCTCTGAGTGGAAATATTCTTCAAATAATTTTATTTTATATTCCACAGGAATGAGGGTGAGTAAATAATGGCAGAATGTTCATTTTTGCTCTTTATCCCTGTAAAGCCCACTTTATATTTGATACGTGAATTTCAAAGACCTCTAAATTGTCAACATGATCAAAACAGTGCTGAAAAACCTGGTTTATAGATCTTATAGATCATATAGTTCATAGTTTTTAATGAGCAAATGGTCTTATAATAAAAAGGTAAAGGTAATATAATTCTTAAAATGTCCACCTTCAGGTCATGGTTCTCGTGTCTTTTTGCTATAAATCTTTAATAATTTTTATGAAGTAAACGCAATACCTTTTATATTGTTAGAAATTTTTCAGGAGGAACATTTATTGGATTAAAGTAACTTAGATTTACTTGGTTATCCATCTTTTTTTAATATAAAAATTGTTAAAATATATGTATTAAATATAATACAGACTTTTAAGGAGCATTTGTACATATCTCGGTCATGATTATATTACATTCCATTTTTGTAATATAAAATGGAATTTTGCCCCCACAATAACAACTACAGAAATTTGATCATATAAAAAAGCATTTAAATAGCATCTTACTAAGACATGTTATTGGGGAATATAGAGTGACAACTGACATTTATATTGACACATAAGTAACAACAACTGCACCAAATTGCATATTTGTGCTCCGTTTGAGTCTCTAAATAAAATGTTTTTTTTTTTCCATCTTTAAGTGTGAGCTCTATATTCTCAGTATGTCAAACTACATGGACCATAAAAGCCTGATGTGTCAAATATGATAATCAAAAAACCACACACACATTCATATGTTAGGGTTTACAGGTTTTAAATGCTGATGTATAGCTAGTAAGTCTGCTATGTCTCGTTCTCTTACTCTCAGTCTTTCTTCCAGGGGTGAGTTGTAGCCTTCAGGCAGGCAGCTGGGTTGGGGAGAGCGAGTACGAGGCAGGTGACGGGCCCCTGCGTGCCCGCGTGAACAGAGGCAGCCTGGTGAGTGACAGGCCAACATGTGGAGGGTCTAACAGTTATCGACACATTTTCCTGTCCAGAGAGGAGGAATAATGGCTGAGTGAAACCCTCTCCTGGTCCTGCTCTTTAATGGTCTCTCATTGTCAATATGCCATGTTGATCTGCTCTCCTCAGGCTGGCTTAGCTTTTATTACTGACTGTGCTATGGATTGTGGCTTGTTTCGAAAGTCACACGCTTCCCCGAGGACAGAGAATTCAAAGAGAGGGAACACACTTGTGACTTTATGAGAGGACTGTGCATTGTGAGACAATATAGGGCACTGGTGATCTGTTTAGGCCACGGTGTACGACTCAAATGCTTTGCAGGGAAGAAGCCAAGCTTTGGGGAATATAGAGTGACAACTGACATTTATATTGACACATAAGTAACAACAACTGCACCAAATTGCATATTTGTGCTCCGTTTGAGTCTCTAAATAAAATGTTTTTTTTTTTCCTTCTTTAAGTGTGAGCTCTATATTCTCAGTATGTCAAACTACATGGACCATAAAAGCCTGATGTGTCAAATATGATAATCAAAAAACCACACACACATTCATATGTTAGGGTTTACAGGTTTTAAATGCTGATGTATAGCTAGTAAGTCTGCTATGTCTCGTTCTCTTACTCTCAGTCTTTCTTCCAGGGGTGAGTTGTAGCCTTCAGGCAGGCAGCTGGGTTGGGGAGAGCGAGTACGAGGCAGGTGACGGGCCCCTGCGTGCCCGCGTGAACAGAGGTAGCCTGGTGAGTGACAGGCCAACATGTGGAGGGTCTAACAGTTATCGACACATTTTCCTGTCCAGAGAGGAGGAATAATGGCTGAGTGAAACCCTCTCCTGGTCCTGCTCTTTAATGGTCTCTCATTGTCAATATGCCATGTTGATCTGCTCTCCTCAGGCTGGCTTAGCTTTTATTACTGACTGTGCTATGGATTGTGGCTTGTTTCGAAAGTCACACGCTTCCCCGAGGACAGAGAATTCAAAGAGAGGGAACACACTTGTGACTTTATGAGAGGACTGTGCATTGTGAGACAATATAGGGCACTGGTGATCTGTTTAGGCCACGGTGTACGACTCAAATGCTTTGCAGGGAAGAAGCCAAGCTTGGCGTTCTGCTCTGATTGCTAAGAAGCCTCATGACACAGTCTAATAGCAGCCCCTCTGCAGTTCTTTAACATGAAAACAGCATGGTTTAGATGCGTGGTAGGATGAGGTGACATTTTAACAATATAAAATTAAGCAACATTGTGAACATCAAGATAATGATATCGGTTTGTTTGTTTAATTCAGTTCTGTGAAGTCCAGTTCAAACTGTCTGATTCATTGAATTGATTCAAAACTCTGATTAGGTGATTAATTTGCATCATCATTCAAAAAATATATCAGACATACAGTATATATGAATTTTCAGCAGTCATTATTCCAGTCTTTAGTGTCACACGATCCTTAAGAAATCATTCTGATATGCTGATTTGGTGCTCAAGAAACATTTCTTATTATTATCATTGTTGTAAACACTTATGCTGCTTAATATTTCTGTGGCAGTCCTAAAAGTAAAAAAAAAAAATGAAATAGTCTTTTGATCAATTTAATACATCCTTGATGAATTAGAGTATTAATTTGTTTTTAAAAAGTCTTACTGACCCCAAACATTTCAATGGTGGCACATATTTGGGTAAATATGGACATTTATTCATATACATTTCGGTAACATTTTATTGTAAGGTGCCCTTGTTACACATGTTACATGTACTTACTATTATAATAACAATAAATTATGCATAATTACATGCAAGTAACACTAAGCCAAACCTTAATCCTAACCCTAACCATATAGTAAGTACATGTGGTTAATTAATATTACACAGTACATAAATGTATAATTACACCATAACAAGGACACCTTAAAATAAAGCGTAACCTAAATTTCTGTGTTGATGCATATTATTATATAGGTATTAGGTAAATGTCATTTTTGATTGCTCATTTAGTGAAAAACAGATAGAGTACTTTTTACTGAAGCATTTTTAATCTAAATTGTGTCAACAGTGCATAAATATGCAGAGAGATTCTAAATATTGAACTGAAAAGCCTGAAAAGTATTAATAATTTTTTAGCCTCATTCCACAATATGCATTCCGTATTGTGCTGATATTTACCAAAGATAACATAAGCCTTATAAATGCTGTACTGTATACTGGTTACCTCTGAAATGGCATTAGAATGCAAAGGACACATTTCATAGGTGAATTCTGCATTTATTTGTGTGATATTGCAGCTGTGTCCTGGTTATTGTGAGGCTTTAATGGCCCGAGTCTAGCATGTTGACCTCTCAACAAGTGTGTGCCAGTGACCCATATATTTGCAGATCTTTGCTTTGGGCATCTTACGGCTCCCCTGAGCTGGCATTGTCACAGACCCATCCAGACCAGACTTGAGCAAAAGCCTGTTACTTTAACCCCAAATGTCTTGCAGCTGCTTTCATAGATGGCACAGAAGTGGCTCAGACTTTCACTGAACCATATCTTACCTCGTTTTTTTAACACTTATCTCTTTGTGGCAGGTTGTTAGTTACTTTTTTTATTTGTGAGAGGCTCTATTTAAAGGGTTTCTGCAGTCATGGAAAACCTGGAATAATCATTTCAATGGAATTCCCTGGAAATGTCCTAGAAATAAGTCACATATTACAGTAATGTATATTTTTGTGACCTTTGATACTTTGATGCTTTGTGTACTGAATCGCTCTCGTTTTCTCATACATCTTTAGCTCCCTCCCCTCTTTGATGGCTGCTTCTTCTACATGCTGGGCTCCTTCTGTAAGCTACCAAAACACGAGCTCATTCAGTTAGTGAAAGAAGGAGGTGGACAGCTTCTGAATCGCCAGCCCAAACCTGACAGTGACGTCACTCAAACCCTGAGCGCAGCGGCCTACCATGCCCAGCCTGGTTCAGACCAGGTTCTCTGCACCCAGTATATCTTATATGATCCTCAGAGCTCCTACAAACCCCAGAAGGTCCGGGTAGGTAAAGTCTGGTCAGCTCCATCCACGTGGTTTATGGACTGCATAGCTGCCTTTCAACTCCTGCCAGTGCCGGCGCACTAGGCCATATACTTGTTGTGTTATTATGTTTCTGCTTCATGACATCAAATAAAACCTTTTTCTGCATAAGAGAAATTAGTTTTTATACTTATCGGAAGATAGAGCCATCATAATTGCGGTTTTCATCCAGCTTTATGTGAGGCAAAATAAAGGGTCTGACTGTCCCCTGAAGATTCAAGTCACGTGGCAAGTCTCAGGAGAAAGTATTTGCACGCTTTTTAGAGTCTATTGTGCTTGTTCTTTCTTTCCGGGCCAAATTATGCCATCTGAAAGCTAGAAAATTATGAAAACATTTCCCATTGTCAGGATACATGACCTATTTTGAGCAGACTCACAACTTGTGTGCAAACCATTCAGAGATCTTGTGGGAATTAGTTTCATTTTCCCCCAGACAAAACTTACATCTTCATCAGACTTTTAAATGCAATGCTAATTGCTTAGACCGCTTTTGTTTTAAAAAACCAAATGGTATTCATAAAGTCCAGGACAGGATAATGGGATTCTAGCTACAGATGATAAGGTGGCATTTAGATTAGATGGAAAACAAAATACCCAAAGAGATGAATGAAGAAAATAAGAGCAATTAATTCTCAAACGGTGGCCCTTTCAAACAAGCAGTTTTTTTTGTTTTCTTTGCTCGTTTCTGCAAGGGTTAAAAAATGAAAGATTTCTGGTCGTCTTTGGCTATCTCCCAAGATGCGGCTTTCAATGGGATTAGTCAGGGATGCTCCTAATTGCTATTGATTGCTGTGAGCCGCATTAAATTGCTTCACCCTTGTCCTGCAGGGACGTGGAGGGAGGCAATTAATGGTGTGGACAGGGTTTGGTGGGGTGATTAATTGGAGGGTATTGAGGGTCCTGTGGGTAGAGGGAAAAATGCACGCAACTCTTAACATCTGACTTTGCAAACTTTATCATCTCTCTTCTAAGAGTTAAGAGCTTTCAAATGCACTTTTGCAGAACAGATGTGTGCAAACAGATACGATCCTGAGGGCAATGACTCTCATTATGTATTGTTTTTTGCAGTTCTTATGTTGCTTTTGGTTAATAGTATATCTGAAGATTTCCTTAACATAAATCCCGGCTTTTTTATTCATCCAAAATCATCTTTTAGCCAGAATTTATATTAAAGGAAAAGGCTGGAGATGTAGTATATTTCTAATTATTACCTAGAATCTACCCCCTACTGTGATGAAAAATAAGTAATAAGTACTGAAGAATTATCTTCTTTGTACAGTATGTTTGGAAAGTTCTGCTGCCAAACAAACTTTCTTCACTACATGAACTGAATGATTCTAAACTGGATTTCAGTTTAAAAAATGCAATGTCTCAAGCCCTATTCGGACAAGACTAGTTTTCCCTAAGGAAGATTCAAACTTGTCTGTTTATCTTATCTTGCACATCTTGGTAAAAATTACCAACTGTTTACAAGCTTGGCAATCCTCTGACAAATGATGCTAGGGATATACAGGTACATCTAAAAAATTAGAATATCATGAAAAAGGTCAATATTTTTTGTCACTCATTTCAGAAAGTGAAACCCATATATTATATAGATTCATTACACAGAGTGAAATATTTCAAGCCTTTATTTCTTGAAATTTTGATGATTATGGCTTACAGATAATGAAAACCCAAAATTCAGTGTCTCAGAAAATTAGAATATTGTGAAAAAGTTCAATATTGGAAAGTCATGGTGTCACACCCTAATCAGCTAATTACCTCAAAACACCTGCAAAGGTTTCCCGAGCCTTTAAATGGTCTCTCAGTCTGGGTCAGTAGGCTACACAATCATGGGGAAGACTGCTGACTTGACAGATGTCCAGAAGACAGTCATTGACACTCTCCACAAGGAGGGTAAGCCACAAAAGTTAATTGCTAAAGAAGCTGGTTGTTCACAGAGTGCTGTATCCAAGCATATTCATAGAAAGTTGAGTGGAAGGAAAAAGTGTGGTAGGAAAAGGTGCACCAGCAAAAGGGATAACCGCAGCCTTGAGAGGATTGTCAGGCAAAATCCATTCAAGAATTTGGGGGAGCTTCACAAGGAGGGGACTGTTGCTCAGTGGTCCAAAGTGGTCCTCTTTTCAGAAATGGTAATCAAGGTCCCAGAGTCTGGAGGAAGAGTGGAGAGGCACAGAAACCATGTTGCTTGAAGTCCAGTGTGAAGTTTCCACAGTCAGTGATGATTTGGGCTGTCACGTCATCTGCTGGTGTTGGTCCGCTGTGTTTTCCGAAGTCCACAGTCAACGCAGCCATCTACCAGGAAATTTTAGAGCACTTCATGCTTCCTTCTGCTGACAAGCTTTATGGAGATGCTGATTTCATTTTCCAGCAGGACTTGGCACCTGCCCACACTCCCAAAGGTACCAAAAGCTGGTTCAATGACCATGGTGTTACTGTGCTTGATTGGCAAACTCGCCTGACCCTATTGTCAAGAGGAAGATGAGAGACACCAGACCCAACAATGCAGATGACCTGAAGGCCGCTATCAAAGCAACCTGGGCTTCCATTACACCTGAGCAGTGCCACAGGCTGATTGCCTCCATGCCACGCCACATTGATGCAGTAATTCATGCAAAAGGAGGCCCAACCAAGTATTGAGTGCATAGAAATGAACATACTTTTCAGAAGCCTGACATTTCTGATTAAAATATCTTTTTTTTATTGATCTTATGTAATATTCTAATTTTCTGAGACACTGAATTTTGGGTTTTCATTATCTGTAAGCCATAATCATCAAAATTTCAAGAGATAAAGGCTTGAAATATTTCACTCTATGTGTAATGAATCTATATAATATATGGGGTTCTCTCTGAAATGAGTGACAAAAAATATTGACCTTTTTCATGATATTCAATTTTTTTTTAGCTTTACCTGTATAAACACCATATCACAGACATATTTTTAAATCCATTTCTTTATATTATAAATAGAGTATATTTTAGCTTTTTAGATTAGATTACCTTTGCCCTCACCCTGCCTTAAATTTAATATAAAAAAAACACTAATAATTTAACTGTTAAATGTAATTTTTAGTCTCAAGTCTCAAAAATAATGCCCATTAAAAAAGAAAGAAAAAGAAAGAAATATTACTTTTTTCCCTAAATTTACTTGTAGAATTAAAAAAAAAGTATTTAAACAAAACTAGTATTGTGGAATTTTAATATTAGGTGCATTAGCATTTAAGAATATTAATATTAACATTTCTAGTCACAGCACTTTTTTTTTGGACTCATTGAAATTTGTAACTACGCTAAATTTCTTATTTGCTACCTAGTGCACTTCATCTGTTTTTCCCCTCTTACATTATTTGGGCTTCTTGCCAGCTGGTGGTTCAAATGCTTCCTGCTGATATCTTATCTGATGTTAAAAGAAAATTAAATCAATAAAGAGAGCCCCATCCTCTGTAAAGTAGCATCAGGTACTCTCCTCACCTTAATTAATTTCTTCCCTTAATTATATATGATTTTGTGGGCACACAAGTTTTTTTTTTAAGCAATTACAGATGTCTGGTGTTAATAATTGTAACTCAAAACATATGTACAGTGCTTTCCTTGGATGTTGGAGTATGTCGGTCTGTAGGACTGGAAGCAATTCAGTTGTGCCTACTGTTTCTGCTACTTATGATGAAAGTCTCACTTCTTCAATCGCTTTTAGGGAGCTCTAGGATTTCTTTGTGCCACTTCCTCCTGTTGTATCAGCACTTTAATGCTCTCCTAGACAATGATGGATGAGTAAACCTGTGCTGGAGTTACAGTAATGGTCCGAGTTACTCTCTTTCCTGTTCTCTGACCTCGGTGTGGTGACTGTTTTCTTAGCAATCGCAGAATAAAGTGAACATGTGCCTGGCTCTCCATGTGACAGAGGGAATGTGATGTTTCCACACAGTAAATGGATGGCTGGTTATAAAATACTGCTCTGTCAGCATGTAGGAACTGCTCATGTCTGCAGTATCAGATGCCCTGTGCATCTGGCTGGAGATGAGCTGGTTGGATTTGCTTACAAAAGATAGGAATGTTTAACAAAAATAAATAAATAAAAATAATACACACACCGGCTTTCTTTTTTACTGAATAACACTTTTTTTTTCTCCCAGTCTATTTAACAAAATAGTTTTGTCTTCATAAATAATACACATTTTTAATCCTCTTTCTAACTGAATTCAGAATACACATTAAACACTTTGAGATATTTACATGTTTATACATTTAGGAAGGGCACCTGGGCTTTGTATTGTCCCATAAAAATGAAACGCACATTATAATAATAAGAATAATTCTCATTTTAAATAATAGCACTGTTAAATGATACATATCAGTGAGTAAAATTTGTTTTAAATGAATAGTTCACAGAAAAATGGAAATTCTGTCATCATTTACTCACCCTAATGTTGTTTCAAACCTGTATGACAGTTTCTTCTGTTTTTATTCACTTATCTTTTCTTCCAGTGAGATTTCCTGCTGCAACTGAATCGAGATTTGTGAATGAATCATTCAGAAAGATTTTGTTAACGTGACCAACTAATTAAAAATCAGTTAAATGATCCAGCATAAAATATGCTACTTCTCTCATAAAACCTCTTGTATATATTTTGGTCTGTTTCTCACTAGTTATTTTCTGGCTTCAAAAGACTTGGAATGTAGTGCATGAATCATGACTCGGTTTTATCGTATTTTGGGTTCCTTTTGAAGCTTGACAACTCCAGTTCCTCATTCATTGTAATTGCACAGAAATTCACAATTTGAGAATGAGTACAATTCTTCAAAATTTCTCCATTTATGTACTATAGAAACAAGTCATTCGGCTGTGCAACAACATGAGGCTGAGTATATTATGCCAGAATTGTCTTTTTTGGGTGAACTGTCTCTTTAAGTGTAAGGACCCTCAGTGCCCGTCAGTAAGAAAAGCTGATTGTTTTACAGTATTTTTTCCCCCTCTTCCATTATAGATGCAGTTTGTTTGTTTTCAGGCACAAGTTCATATAACAGTTTTGTTTAGAAAAAGAACAATCTTCACAGCTTCCAGCTACAGTTAGTCAGTGTCTCAAAAAAAGAGCAA